ATGATTGACATAAAAAATAATTATTTAAAACTAATGATGTTAGGGTTAAAAGAGTAAAAAGATACTTTATAAAATTAAATTATAAATTAAAACTTTATATAAAATTATTGAATTAAAAATATATTTTACTCTTAGAAGATATTTCTAGAAATGAGTAGCAAATCTTCACCTTCATATCTTGTAAAAGCCGTACTCCACGCTAACCTTTTATTTTTATTTTTAATTTATTATATATAAGAAATTTTATAAAATTATATTTTTAAGTAAAATTGAAACATGGTTTATTGTGACTATTTAGCATCAAAATTTTATTTTCGTCAAAAAATATCTAATTTTGTAAAAAGTATTTTCGCATAATACATTTTTATAATAACATATTAATACAATTTTATCGCTATGTATTTTGGTTCAATAGCCCATTAGAGCTTCCGCAATGCATTTGGAACTTTTATATATTTTAATATGTACCAAAAAATAAATTTTAAAATAATTTATATTTTTAATGTGTTTCGACAATTCTGTTTTAATTTTTTCTGACCTATGGTTATAAAATCCAGTAGTTTGTGAAGCCGTGTCAATTGACTAATAGGTCAACTAAATGATTGTGACATTATTCTATAAGATCAAAAGACCTAAACATAATTAAAATTTGTTATTAAAAAAAATTATCCCCAATGTATTTTTGTTGTGATAGGGAAATAGATTATTGTTAAAATAAAAATGATATTTTTTTAATAGAGATTTGTTCACTATATTACAACAATTCTTCTATCAAATTAATATTTTGTAGTTATTAATAAAGAAATTGATTATTGTTATAGTGAAAATGAAATTTTTTTTTTCCTTGAATGAGTCTTATTTACTAAATTATAGTACTTATTTATCTGCACCATCAAGTTAATTTTTTAAAATTATTAATAAAAAATTAATTATTATTAAAATAAAAATAGAATATATTTACTGCATCACAATTCTCGTTCGTCTTGACTACCAAATTACTTTTTTAAAGTTCTTAATAAAAATAATAATTGATGTTAAATTAAAAATGAGATCTTTTTTTATTTTAATAGAGAGTTGTTGAAAGAGTATATACATGCATATGAGGGTAGCTTTATCTTTTCATCATAAATTTTAATTACATTCAGGTCTTTTGATCTTATATATTAATATCAGAATCATCCGATCTTACAGTATAATTAATTGTATCTAGTGGTTGTTCATCGTCATTTTTCCTTCATTAAATCTTGCAACCCGTGGGCCGTATCAGTCGACTAATGGATTAACCAACAATTCAGCAGCCTGACTCTTGCGCCCAACCCAGCCTGACGATCGCATATTTACGGATCTAGATTATACGAAATAGATGGATTAAGAAGGCTCGTGGCGATTTAGACTCCTAGAAAAACAAAGGAAGAATTATTTTAAGGACAACTTATTTATAGAAACAGTAAAAAATTATGTAATTATTTTGTGAGACCAAGGTCATTTACCAAAAGTTTGACAACAATGTGTGATGACTAAAATGCCTATAAAAACAAATATTTTATATTGTTTAGTTTCATATACATAGGAAATTTAGACTTTTGCGCTCTAAAAATTTCCTATACGTGAGTATTAATGGTAAATTCTATGACTCACGGGCATGTTAGTTATTACACTTCTTTCGTTTCCAAAAAATGATTTTGACTCTGCAAGATAAATTCAGAAATTTAAGGTCTTTATCTTTAAACAACTTCAATCTTGATTTTGATTACGAAGCATAATTCCCTCCAACACAAAACGTGGCTTTTATAAATTAACCTTTATTACAGCTAAAGCCAAACACTAACGATGTATTGAAGGAAGAGCATTCCACATTTCTCGCCTTGAACTTCGAAGAGTTGCTTTTAAGCATTTACCCCCCACACTTGGTGTCATATGTTGTTAATTTCAAAATCTTGGCTCAACAACTCCAAGGGACGATTCACACAAAAGCTAAAACACTCTTCTTTAGAGAAAGAAAGCGAAGAAGAGTGCTGATATATGAGCCTCTAGTACACATTTGTTTATTGTGGAGAACTAAAATAACAGAGTAAAATTAAAAAGGAAAAAACAAAATGGACGGCTGAGAAAATGAAAAGGAAAGAGAGCCAGGTAGATCAAACTCAAAAAAGCCTTTGCTGTTTGTTAATCCATATATCTCATCATTTATGTGTCTTTAGATATACTTGCCATGTAATCAGCTTCACCATCGTTCATAGCTACCTACAATTTCTTTTCCTTAATCATCACGCAAAAGGGGGAGGAAGTTCTTGACCGTCAAACATGATCAAAGTATATATTCTTCTCTTTGCCCCTTTTCCCATTTCAAATAATATAACTGGGCATCATCTTTTCTTTATGTTTCCCTCTTTTTGGTTCCTTAACATGTTTGTCTGTGTGCGGCGTGCCACCAATATTATAACAACGGCGGCAGCAGCAACGAATCCAAGCTAATCAATGAAAGGGCCAAAGTGAAAATAAAACATGAAGCAAGGGGACTAAAATCTCTTTTAATGTTTTTACAAGCAAAAAATTTTAATGGGGGAAGAACTCAATATACTCCTTTTTTTTTTGTTTATTTGATTATATTTTTCTATCAATAACAATAGGACGTGGATAGTTTTTGCTTTTGAAATTATCTCCCCGTGTAGTCCGTACCGTCGCTCTGAGCACTGAGCATAGGGAGGGCCGCTTCCAGGCTCGGGCGGCAAAAGCGTATTAAATAAGGCGAATCATAATATATGATGTTCTTTTTTTTGGCTACAATTTAAATTTAGGATATATTTGTGTATTTCTTTCTTTTCTGTTTCTTTCTTTCTTTCTTTTTTTAATGGAGAGATGTATACTTTTTGTATTCCTGTTTTATAATTATAACAATGCATGTTGGGTGGGGACGTGAGTTGAACATGGAAGTATCATTCAATAAGGAACGTTCTTTCTGGCCCAAGGAAAAAAAAAAAAAAAAAGGTCCTTCCATCATCCCTGCAAATTAGTGCAGGTAGGACCCGCATTCCACGTGTTGCAATTGCTCGGCCTTAATCAACACGTGCATCAACGGAGATCAGTCTTAAAATATGCTAATTTTTTAAAAATTTCATATTATTAAACTCATCTTTATTTTTTTTTCAAATGAATTTGGACTTACCGTTTAAACTTAACTTGAATTATTAAATATATATATATATAAATAATAATTTTGATGCTCAGCTTATTTGTATTGAAGTTAAAGTGTTTTATTTTTTTAAAAAAGTTTATATTATCAAGTTTAATCTTAACTTTTTTTAAATGAGTTTGGATTGATCAGTTGAGTTTGGTTTGAATTATCAGTGCTAAATTGACACATATTATTTGTATTTTATCTAATAAAAATATAACATTTAAATATCACTATATATAAATTGATTTTGATATTAATGATAATAAACAATTAAAAAAATTAAACAAATATTTTATTATTAGAATAGAATCAATTAAAATAAATTATTTAATATTTTATTTAATTAAATAAATTGAAATATTCTAATTGAATAGAGCAGAAATGAGACGTGCATCCGGTGAAGAAATTCTTCTGTCGCCAGCCAAAATTATTCTCTCCACCTTCCCTTCAGTTCCCCTCTTCTCACTTTCTCAAATCTGAGTGCAGGCAGCACAATCTCGTCTCGTGTGAGGGTGGACTCTCCATAGGGGTTAAGATTTTAGACACTCGTGAATTGAAAAGTAAAAATATTTGAATCAACGTATTCCAATATTATTACCGTAATAAAAACAGTTGCGTGCTGATGCGCGTGATTAAGCTTTGAAGCATCATTATTTCAATTCACAGAGGTAGAAAAAAAAATATATATATATATATATATTTTTGTATATGTACTATATTTTCAAAATCAAAGTCAATTATCTTAGACAATACTTCAATGCATTTTTAATTATCGATTATCAATTAAAAATATATATTATATTTATTAATAAATATTAAGTATTTTATTTTATTTGTCAATATCTACCCGTCAATAAAAAAAAAAAGTTAAATTTTAAGAAACACGTTGTTTATGTTCATAATAATTTGTGACTATTTATACTAGCAAAAATATAAAATTGGAAGTATTTTTATCAGTATCAGGAAATAAATCAACTAACTGAGTAACTGTGATGAGCAGTAAAAGCAAAGAAAGTTACCCCCTCGTTTAAAAAATATGAAACAATTTTTTATGACAAGATGTTAAAAAAATATAAAATAATTTAGACTTTTCGATATGCTATTAACGAGATTTTTTATTAATGGTGTAGTGAATGAATTTTTTTAGTTGAGACATCCTTTTAAAAAATATAAAAAAAATTGTGATTTTAACAAAAATTAATTAATTCATTTATTATATAATTTGTTAAAAATGTCTTAAAATATTGAAAAAGGAGATGGTTATATAGTTTATATATGTGGTGTTAACTATCCAAAAAGCTACAAGTAGATTTATGTTTGATTTTTTCATTTATAATTATGTTTTTTTATGATTTGTTTTATTAATACATTCTACATCATATACTGTATTTTTTTTTAAATGATATTAGTATTGTCTTGAATCCAATGCACATGTGGCACATGTGCACCATAGTGATTAAAGAATAAATTAATATGTTCATCCTTGACCCAAAAAAAAAAAAAAATCAACGGTGTTTGGAAAAATGCAGGGAGGTTGAAGAGCACGATCTCAAAGCCCAAATCATGTCATGCTAAAAGTGGTTACCAAATGGCATAATTTTTTTACAAACCCCATTTAACTGAAAATCACAATTAAGAAAGAAGAAACATGTGCCTGTTTTTTTTTTTTTTTGGGGCAACCTCAACTTTGCCTAAAATCAAGTTTTACCCAAATCACAATTTTAACTTACACAAAACGAGACATACCATCAATTTCGTTGATGGTAGGAATCCGTTTGGGATTATGATTATAAATGATAATTAAAAATGGCAGGGGAATTAGGAGGATGAAAGGCCCGACTGGGCCCCACCTGGAGAGTGAAATTACAGAACCTACCCCGCCTTGATCTCCTTGGCGAAGTCGGGGCCCACCGCCAGATTCTCCCGCCATAAAAGAAGCGTGTCCCGGAGGTGGAAGATGAAAATCGCGCCGAGCCCGAAGGCGAAATCGGTCATTTCGATTCTGGAGCGAGAAAGCGGTGGCGCATCATCAAAACCAGAGCGACTCGTGGAGCATCGTTCGCGTGGATGCGTGGAACCCAACTCTCAGTCGCTCAGATTTCAGAATTCTCGACGCCCACGAGCCGATCTCTCTGCATTCTCAAGCCTCGCCTTTTCACATTGCCCCATACTCCCGCTTTCTAGAACCTACCCTATTCCCTTTTCATTCTCCCAAGCCTCTCTCATTGTCCCAAGCTTCACATTGCCGTTAAGTCTCCATGCCCGCGTCTCCTTTTCTTTTCTTCTCTGTCATTTGTCCCCGGTTTATCTATTATTAAACGTGTTTATTATGGGTCCACTTAGCGTCAATGTCGTTTTCCTTTGTCAGTCCCTGTCTTTTGCTTACTGTTGATTTTGGTATCACTATCATTCTTTGCATGCGCGCTTTCCTTTTTCTGATTCATTCTGCCATATCATTGTGTAGGGATGGCTGAGGTGGGAAAAATAGTGTTCATTGTGGTGGTAGACGACGTTGCTGAGAAAGATAATGATAGGGAGTCGTTCAGGTATTCACGACCTGTTCTCCAGAGTACTCTGCAGCTCATGGGATGTAAAGCGCGACATGCTTTTAAGGTATGCACATTATATGTGACATATAAATTTGTTCATTTTGATAGTTCAGCTCACCCATCTATATTTTGATTCTGTTGTCCGTTTCAAATTTATTCGATCGTCAAAACTGATACTGTTCCTTGTCCATCTCATTTCTCGTGAACAATTTTTGTTTATTGTGCTTTCATGTCTCCCTCAATTGGTGGAAGGTTTGTGCTCCATCTACATTGGTCGATCTGGATTTCTTTTCTTTGTTTTTTTTAATATCAATTTTCTGAGACTAGTGTCGTGTAGTGAAAATTTAACTAAAATTATTGGAACTATTTCGTTCTGTTACGAGATGGATGGGTTTGGTCGGTGGTTCTATGTTTTTGGCTGACTGAATGAAGCCCGTACACTTTTCTGTCTTACGCTGCCTAACTATTATTCACTTCAACGGCCTGTTCGTGTTTATTTTATTTTATTTTATTTTATTTTCCTGTGTGCTTGTTCTCCCGTTGCCCAAGGCGAGAAGGAAGTCTGATACTTTTACTTCAGCATTGGAAGGTTTAATGTGTCTAAAATATCACTATATCTTCTTTCCTTTATTAATGGTTGATGATGACCCAGTTGAAGTGCACTCTTCAATAAAACTTGAGTCTCGTTGGTTAAAAAAAAAAAAACTTGAGTCTCTATATTTGAGTTGCTCCACAACTGCTGTTTATTTATTTTTTCCTATTATTGTTTTTCCTATTATTGCTTCACTTTAATTTAGTAATTAAAGAAACTCATCTTTCATGGAAGGTTTTTTTATAGATTAGCTGATGTAGTGATGTATTGTGGTTAATTGTCATTTGACGGCGTGAACTGGCTCTTATTTATTAAACTTGAATATGCTTTCGTCTTACCAGATCAGCCAAAGGGTTTTTGAAATCATAAGGAGTGAGAGTTCTGTATCTATGACGCCTGATGGAATGGTCACATCAGATCTGCATGCTCTAAAGGAAAATTTTGAGAAAGCAGATGGTCATCGTGCTGATACTGATCTTGGTAAACCATATGGTATGAACCAATTATATTCAGGGAAAGATGAGAAAACCAAGAGAGTGCCATTTGAGTTGTATAAAAAGCGCACAACTGCATTTGTTCGAAGGGAAAATTTTTTGGATATTGTTTGCGATGCTTTGACTGAGTATAAGTACGTGGGTCCCAACCAGAGAGCAGACTTGGTTCTAGCATGCAGGTATGGGATTGTTTTATTTTATACGGAGCACCGTATAAGATATATACTTGGACAGGAATAAAATGGCTGAAGTGGGGTGCGCGGCTGGTGTGATTATGATAAAGCCATTCTTCAAAGTTAATGCACATAGTTACATTTTTTAAGAGAACAAAATTATAACTTATATTGGCGCTAGCACATTATGATTTTGGTCCATTCCCACCATGTCAAAGTAAATGCTATATAATGGGATGGCTTCATCAGATTCTTGAATACAAGATGTTGATCTCCTGATTTCTTTAAATATCTTTTTGCTTTAAGCCAGGTCTGAATTCTAACCATTAAATGTGACATAACCAGCAATATATGCGAGATTTAAAGTTGATTCTCGCCAAGATCAAATTGATTAACTGTGATGCCTCTAAGATATGCTCTGCCTCCTGTGGTATCTTCTTTAAGTTGTTGCTATCTCTGAATTTTCTATTCCTGTAGTCAGAATACTGCTTGTTCGATTTGTTCGAAATCCGGTTAATAGACTTTCAAGGAACTCTTTAATTCTCCCAATTCTAAATTATTAGACTTGGATTCTAGTTTACACGGTTACAATAATTCCCCTTACATTTTGTTTTGTTTTGTTTTGTTTTGTTTTTGTTTTTTTGTTTTTTGGTCAAGATTTCCCGCTTCAATTTTGGTTCTGTTTAGCATGCCAAAAATCAATAGAGAGCGAGAGACTTAACTCCCTTAATGCTATTTGCCGATAATTGACTTCGAGGTGGTTATTTTCCGACATGAAGTACAATTTCCCTTTTTTAATAAATATTTTCTCTGATGGCAGAATTAGGGAACGGAAGGAATCAGTAACAGTGTTGTTGTGTGGCACTAGTGGCTGTGGCAAATCCACCTTGTCAGCATTGCTGGTATATTTGCAAAGAAAATAGCAGTTATTTTGCAATTATGAATATATAGTGATGGAATACATTTGTGATGACTAGGATTATTAACTGGTAGAACATATATAAATTTTAATGAGAACCATTTAAACTTCTATTCAGGGTTGCAGGTTGGGAATCACAACAGTCATATCAACTGACTCTATCAGGCACATGATGAGAAGTTTTGCTGATGAGAAGGAAAACCCCTTGTTATGGGCTTCTACCTATCATGCAGGAGAGTGCTTGGATCCTGTAGCAGTTGCAGAAGCAAAGGCCAGAAGGAAAGCCAAAAAGCTAGCTGTTGTGTCACGATCAATTCAAAAGGATGAAATAACAGTGGGTCATAGCTCTAGAATATATGATGCACAGAAATTAGAGGGGGCCTCTGGTATCACTGAATTGCTAAGTCGAAAACAAATGGCTGTTGAAGGATACAAGGCACAGAGTGAGATGGTGATTGACAGTCTTGATAGACTAATCACTGGCTGGGAAGAACGAAAAGAATCAGTTGTTGTCGAGGGTGTTCACTTGAGCCTCAACTTTATCGTATGTCAAAATCTGAGTTCTTTGATATTTTTCTTTCTCTCTCTCTTCCTTTCTACGTTTTTCCTTTTTTTTTTTTTGGGTTAGTCATATGTACAATATGTTCTCTTGAAATGATAATTACTTGTTCCTCATACAGATGGGGCTAATGAAGAAGCATCCTTCGATCATACCATTCATGATATATATTGCAAATGAAGACAAGCACTTGGAACGATTTGCTGTACGAGCAAAATATATGACACTGGACCCAGCTAAAAACAAATATGTGAAATATATTCGCAACATTAGAACAATCCAGGATTATCTCTGTAAGCGTGCTGACAAGTATTTTATTCCAAAAATAAATAATACAAATGTTGATAAGAGTGTAGCAGCCATCCATGCTACTGTCTTCAGCTGTCTCCGTAGGCGTGAGGCTGGTGAAAAACTATATGATCCCATCACATGTACTGTGACTGTTGTTGATGAGGAATATAGGAATCAGTGTGCAGCCAATTCTTTGAGCTCTAAAGGAATGTTCCAACTGATACAGAGAAAAGGCTCTTCACGGCATCTGATGGCTCTTGTTAATACTGATGGATCTGTGGCAAAGGCTTGGCCTGTTAATTCAGTTGACCATAATGGAATGCCTGCAAGGGGCCATGGATCGTGGAATGGAATAGGAAATCCAATGTATGGACCATTACAGATTAGCAAGGCAGAACCTGTAAATCTTCAGTTTGGTCTGTATGGGATCAGTGCATGGCCCAGTGATGGCGGTACTAGTCGTGCTGGAAGTGTTGATGAGTCAAGGGCTGATGGGACTGAAACAGGGAGTAGATATCTTTCATCTGGCTGCAGCTCACCCAGGTTTTCTGATGGACCTGCAAAGGAGGTAAACTTGAACAGCCTGTCAATAAATTCCTTAGTTAAATATGAAAATTAACTTGTTAGCTGTCAAGAGAATAGGGAAAAGCTCTGAACTTGGGTTTATAATAATTATTCGGCTTTGCCTAATAGTTTAAAATTGGATTTCTTCTATTTCAGCTCAAGGAGGAGCATTCAGTGCATGGTAGTGATGAAGAGATTGATGATCCACCCGAGGTTGGCAGTGACGAGGATTTGAGTGATGGTAGGGATGAAAGAGTCGATGAGGAGGTAGGGTTCTTATTTCATTATTCACATAAATTTACCTTAGAGCTAGACTGCTGATCTTAAATTTTAAAGCAAAGTTTCCAAATGATAAATAATTTTATAGGAATGCTATTTCAGGCCTCTTCTATTGTAACAAAAATTTCATTCTCGCGGGAACAGGTAGGCTCGGTGGATGAGGAATCTAATATGTCTGATGAAGACTATGACGATCTGGCAATGCAAGACGTGCAAGAAAATGGGTACCAGTCAGACGAGGAAGAGGATTCTGAGAGGAAGCTGACAACAGTTTTGGGGAGTAAATATTGTGATCATGAGAACCTGGATCTCTTCCTTAGAACTAGAAGCGAGCCAATGCTGGAGCCCATGTGTTCTTGTCATTCTCTGCTCACGGAGAAGAGTGAGAAGAATGTGCCTACTCCAGGTTCCGGCCAAGTCAAGCTGAGAAAACGTTCTCTCAGTATCCCAGCATTTGGAAAGCGCGGATCCTCTGTCATTGATCCCATTCTTTCTGGTGCTCCTCAAAGGTAGCTGTACAGTTTTTCTTTTAAAATTAAGTTCTTTTCTGCCCCGTTGGACCATTAAACTAATAATAGCAGTGTCGTTCCCAACTCCTGCATGTATATAATAATAGTAAGGGGTTCCCCTCCCCCAACAATTCCGTTCTCTTTTGGCTGTTTCGGTGCTTTTTCCTCCATACTATATAATTTATATACAAAGTTGCCGACATTTTTGGGCTGATAAAATTTTATTAACTGTATTATATTATGGTGATCAGAATTTAGAGAATCAAACCTGATTCTTCTAATTTAAGCTTTGAAAGCAATGATCCAATAATACAAGGTTATTTGGACTGACACTGATTGTGACTAGCATCGTTCCACTATGCATATGACAATTTTCGAAGCGTCTTTGCAATCCTTTTTCAAAAATTGAAATAAGTTCTGTCCCAGTTAGTAAATTGATTGTGTTTAAAAGTTACTCTCTTCAATCTATATATGTTATAGGTTATTTTTAACCATTTTACGTATTTTAAAAAAATGAATTTTTTTATATCATAAAAAGATGAGATATACTCTCATTTTTACCCTTAGCTTTAAATCATAATATAACTACATTAATACCTTTATCCTAATAAAAAAGGTAAAATCAAAAAAATAGTTTAATTATCAAAAAATATTATATATTTTTTATTAAAAATTACTTTTAAAAAGTGTCTTATAAAATAAGATCCGAGAGAGTATTTTCAAACAATTGATTTTTAAAGAAAGGACAAAAAACCAACAATAACTGAACTGGTAATATTATATTTCGTCGAGAAGCCTGCACGAAAGGAGCACGGAATGCTTAAGATGAGAAAGAGCCTGCGATCAAGAAGTACTCAAGAAATGTGATCGAGAGAACGGGCAGACAGGAGAGAATAGAGATGGTATCACTGCTACATATAATTGAGAGATTGTGTTTGTAATGGGGAGTGGCATTTGCTTTTTTGCCCCTTTGAGGCTTTGACATAACACCATTTTAGTAGAAGCGATAAATTTTCTATAAAAAATCATGGGGTTTTTTTTTTATAATTGATATTAATTCCAATTTAATTCTTAAAGTTCAAAAGTTTTAATTTAATCTATCAAATTTTCCTTAAATTCTGACTAATGTTTTTTTTCCTTTTTGGAGATAATATTTAAGGTGCATATACGGATGAAATTAATTAAAGCGGAGGAATTTGAAAGTCTCATGAAAAATTGGAAAAGAAATCAACTGGTGGGTGTCGGTCTGAATGTGAAAGGATTATGGTCCTTTAAACATATTCAGTCCATGAAAACACGAAGGAACATCTTTGAAAGAATTAGCACTCCAAGTGATGGTCTGTAACGAAAAGGAACCAAGAAGGATTGGAAAAGCAGGGAGGAATAATTATTGGGATGGATTGTGTTGTCTGGAAAGATGAAGTGAGTGGGGCCCACGATTGTCCTTGAGTTGCATGCCTGCCACATGTACACCCCACTCAGTCACTCACCCTGCCACTGGGGACCAAAACCCAAACTCTGTCCCATCCCCCTCCCTCTTGCTTGCATCCGTGCTCTCTCATTTTCTTCTTAATAAGTCTTATCGCCTTCATTAACTCCACATCTCCAGCCCCGTCAATATTATTCAACTTGTGCGCTGCGTCTGTCTGATCGAGGTTGACATTATGGTGAACTGCTTTGTTTCCTTCTCAAAGATATTCAAACACAATTGGCCAAATCCCATACCAAGGAAAATAGAATTAAATGGTTAAACGATCCTTCTCACTGACATCATCAATAGAATCGATCACAAACCTTCCCTTTCTCACCAACGATAATCGTTATCTTGTTATCTCAATCATGAAATTTTAGGCCTGCATGGAAAGCAAAATACAATTACGCGGACTAATGATGATATCCCGTTTATGGTCCATCATCTTTTTACAATCTAGTTCTCACCGGACAATACTGGATGATGGATCGCGGCGCGACATGTAGATAATCGAGGCATGTGAACGCGTCCATTTTGATGCAAAACCTCCGATGCTTTTTATCAAGCTGCTACCTACCTACCTGGCTACCTCTGCAACATCAAGACGAAATATTAATCCCTTGTCTTTGAAAACTACGAGTATGGGTTTTCAACAACCGCTGGTCAAAAATCTCGTGATCAAATAAAACGACACGGGGCCGAGCAGCCGATGGTCAAAATTTTACATATTTATCCAATGCATGTCTTAGCATTAATCACCTTCCAAATTACTAATACTGATCGATGAGCACTTAAAGAATTGTATGGAATGATTACTACAATGCCGGTGAATGAGTAAATGCGCTCTGCATTGCAGCTTTTATACATAAAATGTACGGATAGGCTGTGCGAAGAAGGAAAGGAAGGGATCTCATCATCACTAATGGGAAGATATGTCTTGTGAACGAATAACATCATATTGTTATATGAAAGGTACATCATGTGCTTGTGTGTAGCTGTAAAACAATGGTTATCTTATCTACGATTAATTAATTATATTGCATCAATTACATGCAGAAGTACTTATAACTATAAAAGCTCTACAAATTCAATACACATACACATCAACAACTTAATACATTGCATATATAATGAGCTCTCGTTGGCTATTTAGCCAGTTAATTCATTAACAATTGTGTATGTATGTTAAGTCCTGAAAGAAGTTTCATCATACATACGTACTGACTTTACCACGATGAGGAAATGTACATGTATGTATTCTCGAATCATTGAATTGCTCACGTGCAACTTAAAGGTCAGGAACCACAATAATGTGTGCGCCTGTGCGATAGCATTACCAGAGTACTGGACAAAATCAGAAGAAATTACTGATCAATTTAAAAGACCCGCATCCAAAGACTGAGCCAGATGCTCCCTGTGACCATGCACTCGAGTCAGACCAATTACTACATTAAATATGCCCACTCCTTAAATAATATCACTCTTGGGTCATTACCTAAACACGAAAAGATATTGCTCCAAATTAACATAATAACTAGCTCTTGCTGGGCTTAAATATCGATCACGAAGAACCACTATGATGAATTGTATATAGATGCCACTCGAAGGAAAATCTTGTAATATTTCTCTATTCATGATTGAAGAGATCTGGGGATAGTCGGCGAGCCTTGATATATACATAATATATATTCTTCTGTTTTTACTTTTTCAACTTTTGGGTGTATAAATTCTTTTTATAAGTTATTTCTATCAACCTCATCAATATCAATGCAAAAAAAAAATATATATATATATATAAAGAATAAAAGTGTATAAAATTTTAAATATATCCCTATATAACAAATTCAAAAAGTAATATCATATTAATTTTTCTCTCCCATGAAAGATAATTAAAATTACCTTTTAAATATTACTTAAAAAATCATACCATAATTTATCAATGGGATCAATTCTTACAAAAAAAAAATATGGAGGAAGCATGTATAAATTGGAGGCACAACCGTCTTCAAAGCGCACAAGAATATGCGAACCGAGGCAAGCTAGAGAGTGATGGGGGCACCCAGATTTCCATGACTATGAACAGACTGAACACAGAGAGTCATACGTATAATGCTTGAAAAGACCTATATATTTATTTTTATTTTTAGCAGAATATATGTAATTATGCATATATAAATTCAAAAGCTAAACAATAATATACAAGCACTGAAATGTCTCATCCATACGTTTGATAGAGTATATTCAAATGCTCCCACAGGACGTACCCATTGAAGCAAGCAAGGGGCAATTGCCCCATAAGAAAAGTAAAAATTATATATTTAAAAATAACTTTATGATACAAATGAAATTAATACATATTTTTAAACTTTTCATATTATTTATTTATATATTACTTTAATTAATATTTATAATTATATTTTCTTAAGAAATATTAATACGTATATTTAGTATAAATATTTTTTCTTCTGATAAATTTTTGTGGATCCATCACTGTAGCATCCAACTATGATCTCCATCTAGCTGTACTGGTCCTCCACCCAACAAGAGCATGCATCATCATCATCATCATCATCATCATCATTGCATATATGTCGAACCCAAAGCTGCGATATGATCGTGGATCGAACAAATCCATTTAAGAAAGTGTCCGTGATTTATCATCTCCATATTCCCAATTGCAGCTTCAATTTACAATGTTCTTCTTAATTCCGGAAGCAAAACCATTAGGAAGAATGACCCGTGCGTTCACTTAATTGACAGAAATATTTTACATCTACTATATAATAATTATATGATATATTTTCAGATGCGACGAGGACAATATTCCCAAAAACCCCAAGAAAACTGTTATTGGCACAAAGAATCGGAATCAAAACTCAAAAAGATGACAATCCATCATGTACCATGATCTACTAATAAAGATAAAATTTAAATGAAAATCATCAACCGTAGCCATCTCTGCTCATCAAAAAGATAAAAATAATCGTAAAGATTGGTACTCACCTCAAGTACAGATCTGAATTCTCTCTCCCTCTTCAATTTCTAAATCCCCCTAAATTAGGGAATTCTCCGCGCCTGAACGGCCTGAAAGACACTACACGTGTTTCTATAAAAAAATAAATGAAATTTATATGACAGATCTGTGAAGTCATCAGCACGCAAGATATCACCTCATAGCCACTTAACTGAGCCTGCAAAAGAGCTTGCCTCAGATAACCTAGGATTGCTGGCGAGGGCCATAAGGAGCCATACAAGCACGAGAAGCAAGGCCGGGCCACCCAACCCCTTGATGCGCCACCATTAACATTAAAAATGGTATTAGTTATAAATTGGAAGTAAGAATAATTAAATCCCACACCTGACAGCGACAGAAAGGAAAGTAGGAAGAGTCACCTGTCGATATTTAATTGTGTGGAGCAGACACTATCTTTTGAAGGTCTGAATTATGTGTGCCCCTCCCGACCTTTTCTCTTTTCCCTTTTAATCAATAGTACCTGTAATTTACCTTAAAGCCGTTTATGGCCGATGCAGCATCATCAAGATTCTCACTCCCAAAGGACCATGGCTTTGACACTCACAGAGAGTATAGATCGCACTTTGCTTGTGAATCTTGATGATGCTACATCCGCAAACAACGACTGACAGGCCCTCCATGCAACTGTTACTTCTCTCCATCCAAAAGAATATAGCATCAGGAAATAGTTAACAAGCTCTTTAGCTAACTGGGAGACTAGTTAGAAAGAGGAACTCCAGATGGAACGGAGAAATAAGGGGCAATTGATTATCGATTTATGTGCAACTTTTTTTTTATATTAGTAGCAAGATCATGAGCTGGTGGAGCTTATTGTATATGTGGCCTATTGCCAGGGGTTCAAACATGTTTGGTACACGCGCTAGGCCCTGTGATCCGGAAGGAATCCAGCTACCACGGGAGACCTCAACCCCTCGAACGAAACAAAAGGGGAAAATCATTTAAAAAAATTAAAAAAAAAAAAGTCTTCAAGATAACAAGGACGAACCCTTGCAGCAACACGAAAGATCGATGAAGATATGAAAGGGACCTAAGTGATTGCTAGATTCCCTTGGAAACTTGAAGAGTTTGGGTGCGCGAGATAAACACTTTCCTTTGGATTAAAGAACAGTTCTTTCTGCGGAGAAGGTCGGGAAAGAATCAAACCTAAGGAGCGGGAAAAAAATGAAAAGCCACGCCGGCAAAGAAAGGAGAATATGACTGAGCTCGGACAGATCGTGAGGACATTTATATAAACTTGCACTTGAGAGGAATCCGAGTTATGAAGTGGATACGTGATTGAAGAGTGGGTGAAAGGAAGGAGAACCTGGAGGATGAAGAAAGATGCAAATAAATACAGGGAGAATACAGAAAACGCCTGAGATCTAAGTTGAAACCCCGAGGTGGAGGAAAAGGTTGGAAGAGAAGGGAGCCACTTGGAAATTGGAAATTGGAGTGGTAACAGTAGCTGATGAGGGAAGGCGTATATATATTGACGGGAGGCCAACGAGTTGCTTCATTGGTGGAAAAAAATTCGCCTCTCTGGCCGCCTCACACAAATTCTTAGTCAGACCAATTGCTATATATTATTTGTGATTTATTTAATAAAAATATATCAGATGTTACTAAATACTGTAAATTAATTTTAACATTAAAGATAATAGAAAAAATTATTTTTTTTCCAAATAAATATATATTGTATTAAAAAATAAAATCAATTAAAATGATATTACATAAAATTTTATTTAAATAATTTAATATATTTTAATTAGATGTACCTCAAATAACGTGGCTCACGCGTTCTCACAAAAAATTTCTGGCCGCCTCATTCCCATTCTTGCTTTCTCCTTATGCCCATTGGTTGAAGCTTAGCTGTACATATACGTACTGTACCAAGTGTTTTATTTATGACACTTCCTAATTTCCCTCAAACCCTAGTTTTTATTTATTACTATTATTATTATTATTGTTTTCTTTGAAAGTTCATCGGTGAAGTGACAGCGCCACAGGGACAGAAGTTATAACTGCACACGTACGATTCCATAGCCAAGAATGCACGCATAACCCTCCAAATTAGAGGACCACACCACACCTGTGTTCATTATTTCACACAGGATAACATATAAACAAAATTTATGAAATATATTTATACTTTTTCATCGGTTGGTCTATTGAATAAAATCATGCTTTGGCAGAAATTGATCCAATTGTTGATTCAATGACATAAAACTTAACTATAACTTTTTTAAGGTGGTTGAGTTGGAAGTTCAATATAAAAAAGCTTTAAAAGACTTCTTTAGTATGATGAAGAATAACTTAAGTATTACCTTAAGTAAAGCTGTCGTGAACTTTGTGAGGAGTGTTAGAGCCTAATTTAAAAAGACCTTTGATAGAGTGAAGTGAGGACTGTTATGTAAATAGGTTTGCAACTTATAACCCTAAATCACACATATTTTTAAGTATTTCAATAAGGGTTTTTAAAAACATTTATCACCGTGAATGCTGAAATTCTATTTACATCCCAAAAAACTTTCAGAAGATAATTAAAACGTCTCCTTGAAAAATCAAGTTGCAAATGAATAATGGCCCTACGTTTTGATCAAGTCATCACGCGCTATTTTAATAAATCTTTTGACCGGCACTATTTGCACTGTTTCAGGTATGACCTGAAAGTAGTGTCCCGATGAATCTATGAAATACTATGTGCAAGTCGGAAAAAACAAAACAAGTAATTTGAGAACAAGAAAGAGCGTCCCCGCAGGGAATTTTTACCTAAGTATGCTGAAATCTATGAAAAGCCATGTACAAGAATATCTACTCTGAAGATGATGTCCTAAAAAGCAACATTGCCTTATTCTACACTCAATAAATAATTAATGATTTAAATCTTCAATCCAAGACTAATTATTTAAGCAAAAGATATAGTGGATATATATAAAACAAAGTGAAACCCTCTTAAACCTAGATGAATTAGGCTCGATATTAATAATTCAATTAGTACTAATGATGTTATTGCTCATGGAAGAATCATCAAAAATGATAAGAGTAATTGGATTAAAAAAAATTTTAAATATTTTGATTATTACCACAGCACAATAATAGAGCTTTTGAAAATATTGGAAAGCTTCAATCTTTATAAAATGAAAAATTATCCAAAATTAATATTTATTTTGATTTTATGAAGGCTTTATCATTTATTGATTGTAACTATAATAAAAGCCATCCTCACTCTGTGATTATTAAGAAGATCATATATCTTACCATCAGAAATTAGAAGGTCATTTTTGAGTTTTGACCAAGTCTACAAAAAAAAAACTAATAAATGTGTTGATGTATTGGCACATAAGATGTCAAGTGAAAATTTTGATATTTAATTTATATCTTCAATAACTTATCCCCCTACTATAAAAGCCATGTGGCTTTAAATATAATTAGGTTATAGTCTTTTTGTATGGTTTTCTTGTAGTCTTACATTAAAAAAAAAAATGCTGAGTACAAATATATCCCCATGATCTTACAAGAAGGCATCTCTGCGTACCGAAATAAAACTGACAGGAATACTGGTAACCACTAGTGCCCAACCTTGCCAATTGATTTTTAAACGATTTAATCATGATAAAAAGGGTGACGTCATGATGATGTTGAATTTACCACCATGGCAACATTAAGGGATCTGGCCTTCTCAAGAACACAACCTTGCTATTTTTCGATCCCTTTGTTTTCCTGTTATTATTTTAACTTTTTGACTTTGTCCTTGTATTTTCCTTTTATATATATATATATTAATGACTTCTTAGTTGTATTTATAATCCGGAACTATCATCAAGGTTGTTGTTCACAGTTTAAAGAGAAGTTTTCGGGGGAAAATTGTAATTTTAAAGTTTTGAATAAGGTTGCTTCATTTGTTATTATTTCTAGCAGAGTTTATGGAACATGTATTATTGTTGGTGCATTTAGTTAATCACAACATGATGTACTACTACATTCTATAAAAAATAAAAAACTTTTAAAATGTAATTATGTTGGGGGATTTTACACACACTCCCCCTCCCGTACTCAGGAAGAAGTGTCTTCAATTGATATCGCTCCCTCACGTTTGGAGGAAAAAATTTAAGGAAAATTATATTAAAGTTTTATATAAAAAATTAATTATTTTAAAATTTATTAATAATTAAATTAAATTACATTAATAATACAGTTAATTGTCAATACAGTTTAATTTAATTATCAACGAATTTTATAATAATTAATTTTTTTATGTGATATCTAGTTATAATTTTTTAAAAAAATCCATAACAGCCGCCTCAAATTAACCCTAAACTAGCCCCTCCTCAGCCACAGTTTGGTTGTTATGAAGGATCAAATTTGTATAATTGGGACAGCATTTACCCTTGAATGCCTGGAGATTTGGATTTAGATAACCTAAAGCAACTTTTTTATTTTTTATTATAATTTTTTTATAATGTCAAATTCTCTTTGGATTATAGTTTTATTTGAAATTTCATCTACTCCGATTTACTTTTTTTCTTCACATTTTTCTGTCTCTGTCACTCTTGCCTCTCCTTTCACCTTTTGTCCTCATCTCTTACTAATTAAAAGATAAACATAAGATTGTTACTTTCAATCTTCTATGTTTATAAATTCAATTTCAGCTCATCTCTTTTTGACTTTGAAATTTTTTTACAGTATTCAAACAAAAAATTATTAATATATGAGAATCTAAAATTTAAATTTAAATATATCGGTGCAAACGCTAGCTAGAGAACACGGGTAACACGTTTGCGTTCTTGCCATCCGTGAATTAATACAGTCATGTTAAATTAACTTAAACATTAAACATTGATACGAAGTCACATGAGCCTAGGCGGTTAAGATGGGATGGTAAATTCAAAAGCATGAGATCCAAAGATTTGAAATTTGATTAATTTCGAGGATGGATTGATTGAGGTGAGGGTGGCCCAGTCCGTACAATGTGATCCGGATGTCTTCGCTTTTGCACCATCCACTCCCACCATCGCTGTTTTCGTCCGCATTCCCCATCGTCACATCACGCTCCATCCCCCAACACCCCCCCCCCTTTCTTTTTTTAACCAATAATCCACATTCAACTTCAGCTTTCATCCTCGTCCTGGCAAGAAAATATGAGGATTATTTTCATATTTTCAGGGCTTTCACAATTTAATTACACATTTAAAGCCTTTCAATACATTTATGACCATTATCAAAAATAGATTGATTTTGACGTGTCTAGATTTATGTTAAAATTGTATTAACGAAAATTTCAAGATGAGTTAATAAATGACGCTAGCTAGTAGTGGTAAATGGTCGTGCAGGGTGAGATACAAGTAACTACGTGAGTTCAAGCTATAATGCAATATAAGGAATTGAAAACAAATTAGATATGAAATTTTTTTTGATCAACCAGTGTACCATGTCATTCACGATCTATCTAATAAAAATATAATATTAAATAAAAATTTATTATAATATTAATAGTAATAAGGAGAAAAAAGACAATAAATTAAATAGGTATTTTATTATAAAAATAAAATCATTAAAAATAATGACACATGAGATTTTTTTATTGAGTTATGCAACTTTATTGAATGTATTATCGATGACGTGGTGTAAGGGATTCATTTAAAAAATTTTCATTAGACATAATGAATACAATGAATAGTGCTGAGACAAAAGAATACCATAAAATTAGATAATTATCTTGAAGTCACTAAAACTTAGTTAACGTGATTTTTTTTGGAACTTAAACTAAAGCTGCTAATAATGATTGTAAAGTTGGTTATTATTGAAAGTGTAATTGTTAATTTAGTTATGCCATAACAAGCATAGATTTTATTTTATCAGCTTCAACTTAATAATTAATAACTTCAGTTTAGATACTGACATCAGAACTGACTATAATATCAATTTAATTATGCAATGATAACTATAATTTTACATTAACAATTTCAACTTCATCCTCATCAACTTTTATTTAGCTTTTAATAAACACATTTTCTATTACTATTTCATGGAGAAAATTACTTTTAAATTACTATTTTAATAACTTTTATTTACCTAACTTGAATTTTATGGTATTCTTTTGTCTCAAAACTATTCATTGGATTCATCATTCATTTATGTTTAGTGGCCATGTCTAATGAGAAATTTTTAAATAGATCTAGTGCAAAAGAATTTCTATTAACCTATGCCTAACACGAACACAGCAAAGCCACAAATTATTTTTGGAAGAATGACAAAAAATTTTTAAAAGAATCAATTAATTTAAATTAGGTCTCAAGTGTTAAATTTTAAGAATTTACAACTTTATCTTTTAATTTTGTAATTATATTGTGATGAATTTGTAACTTGTATTCCAAATTTTAATATAAAAAATAATTTTTTTATTCTTCAACTATATTAAAATTTAAAAAATAAG